GTACCGCACCACCCTCACCCACGCGAGCTGGCGCTTCACGACCCTGACCCAGACGGCATATGTAGAGATTGCCACACGCCCACCGCCTCAACCAGCGCAATTGCCGGCCGCGGTCTCGCCGCCATCGCCGAAGCTGAGCAACACGCACCACCAGAAGAAGGGATGTCAAACCTGGAGCTCGAAATCACAACGCGCGGCGTGTTCGGAACGGTCGAACATCCTCTCATCGGCTCGGCATCGCAACACCTTCAAGGCATGCTGCGCGGTACCAGTGCCGGAACCTTCGACGCCCACTGAGTAGCTCGCCCCTACACACGAGAGGAGTTTCTAAAGGTTTACCCCCACTGGCCTGACCAAGCGAAGAAACTGACAGTGGCGGAAGAGGAAGAACTGGCGCGCCGCGAAGCAGAGGAGCTCCGTCGACAAAGCCTTGCCCAGGTGCGCGACACATTCGCTTGTGCTGCATGGGGCGCCGAAGAGGAAGAAAGTGCCTCCAATGAAGGGGGGTGGGGAAGCGCTGGCAGATGGGGAACAAGCGACACTGAAGAACGAGGCAACACCGGCGGCACCTGGGCTACCGCTGGTGGAGGTTGGGGTACCGCATCTGGCGGCGAAGGCAACGGATGGGGCACTTCCCGCGAAGAACCAAGGGGGGGAGAAGAAGCAGAGACAGAGCCTCCTATTGTTCCCCTTGGTCATCCCACGTGCCGCCCCACACCTGCATTGCCTCCACCAGACATCCAGCCGCACCGCGACCCTTGGTACACCATCGACTAGGGCAACATACCATCAACCCCGCGTCGCACCATCTACGGACCTGCTCCCGAGCCGCGCGAACCAACTTTCGTCCCTGGAACTATCCCTGGGACCAATATTCCCCTCTCCGTATTTCTCGACAGAGAATTCCTGGCGCTGATGATGACCACGGCAAACGACGGCAGAAGAAGAAGAAGCAGAAGAAGTAGCGGCAGAACCTGCCCCAGTACCTGACGAAGACCCCAAAGCAGCGCGCGCACGTTACATGCGCACCTCCGGATTCTGCGCCAGCGATGACCCCTGGCACCAGCGCCTCGAACATCCCTCGTGTGCAACACTAAAAAACTGCATCGAAGCTGGCGTCTTCGCCCCTGGCGCACTCCTACGCCATGACGGCACCGAAATAAGAAGCGTGACACACCCGCGCAACTGCACCGTCTGCCCTGAAGGTGCACTAAGTCACCAGCCATTCCCGCTGCTCGAACCGGGAACCAACCGCTACCCCAAGCTGTACAAGGTGTACAGCGACTTCCTCAACGTGGGGCATTGCGGAGTGAATGACGAGCTGTATACGCTCACCTTCATCGATGCTGGGACGCGCTACGTGTGGGTTGTGAACGTAGAAGCACGCAGCAGAGCGTACGAGGTGTTCCGTCTCTGGCTGGCACACGCGCAGCGGCAATTCGGGGAGAAACTAAAGATCTGGCAGTCGGACGGCGCAGCAGAGTTCAGGAGCAAGGAGCTGCAAGATTACCTGGCGCAAAAGGGGATTGAGCACCACATTTCCCTTCCTTACACGCAGCAACAGCAAGGCGTAGCGGAACGAACGAATCGCACGCTCATGACGAAGTAGCGAGCGCTGATGAAGCAGTCCAGGCTCCCGCCAATCTACTTGACTTACGCGATGCACCATGTCGTGCGGGTGCACAACCTGCTGTCAACAACCGCCATCACCGGCAACTTGTCCCCGCATCTGAAATGGACGAGGACGAAGGGGGACACATCCATGCTCCGCGTGTGGGGGTGCATGGTGCAGTTACGCCCGCCGATGTCAACTATCAGAAAGTTCACGAGCCGCGCGCGCTGGGGAATCCACCTAGGCATCAGCCATGAGCACAAGGCATGGATCATTCTAGACTTGCTCAGCAAGAAGACCACCCATGCACGCGACGTCATATTCTACGAGCGACTCTTCCTCGACCAGTTCCGCAAAGATGAGCAGACGAACGCGAACCGCGTTTACGCCAACGACGGGCATAGCTATGCAACACCCGAGGACGAAGCAGCTGCGGCCATCCTGGAGCAGGACACCAGAGGCGAGTTCACAAGAGGAGATCGCCACAGCAGCGACGTCGACGATGATGATTCCTTCTGGGGAGGAATGGGCGGAACAGGAGGAAGCGGCAGAGGCGCAGCACCACCAGCACCACCTGAACCAGAGAGTGACGACGACGACGTGCAGGAGGTTGTCCCGCAGCATCGCCACGACAGCACCGTCTCCGGGCTGCAGTTTCTTGGGCTTCACACCGCGACCTCAACAGCGCCACGTGTCATCGAACCGAAAAATCCGCGCCAAGCTCTCACTGGGCCACACAGCAAGGAATGGCGCGAGGCGATGGATGCGGAAATCAAGGCGCTTGAATCCCAAGACACCTGGGTGCTCGTCGACTGCGCTGCAATCAAGTGAGCAAGGGTTCTTTCTCACCGGAAAGTGGGTCTTCCGTGTGAAGACCGCAGCAGACAGCACGATCGAACGGTTCAAGGCATGCTGGGTGGTGCGAGGCTACAACCAGAGGCACGGGATCAATTTCGATCAAACGTTTGCGCCGGTCAGCCGTCACACCTCCGTCAGAATCCTGCTCGCCATCGCCGCTTCGAGGCACCTGCCATTGCGCCAAATCGACGTGAAGAACGCGTTCCTGTACGCGTTAGTAGATGCAGTCATCTACGTGGAGCAGCCGCACACGTACGGAGAAGGAGACTTGCGAGTATGTCAACTGCGCAAATCCCTTTACGGGATCAAACAGGCGCCAAGACTCTAGCAGCACTACCTGCACAACATCCTGCTTGAAATAGGCTTCAAGCAGATGCCTGATGACCCTGGGATGTACCGCCGCGATTTCCGCGGAGATTACATCCTACTCACCGTCTATGTCGACGATTTACTCTACACGGGGTCAAGCAACGAACTGCTCGAGCAATTCGATAAGAATTTGGCGGGGCGCATTGACATTACCTGCAACTACGAAGTGAAGCATTTTTTAGGACTCAACATCTCCTACGCGCCAGAAGCTATCCACCTCTCAGCGGCTAAGTACGCAGAGGAGCTTGGAAAGTGCTTCAACATTTCACATGCGCCGCTCTCCACTCCTTACCGCACTCCCGGACTGAACCACAAACCTGACAACAAGACCCTATCCCCTGCTGGAATCCAAACTTACCAGCAGCAGCTGGGATGCCTGCTCTTTGCCTCCGTTACCTGCAGACCTGACCTCTCCTACATCGCGAGCCAACTGGCTCAGTACTCCCGCAAACCAACGGCTGAGAACCTTCTGGATCTGCAGCGCGTTCTACAGTTCTTCATTTCAATGCCTAAGATTGGGCTTTGTTACTTAACAGTCCGCACCAACCCCATCCTTCAACCTCATCGGCTACGTGGACGCCGATCACGCAGCAGACCCCGACAATCGACGGTCCAGGACTGGGTTCTTGTTTCGCCTCGAACCGACAGGACCAATCTCATGGAACTCGCAGAAATAGGAGTTGGTTTCCCTGTCATCGGCCGAAGCTGAATTCATCGCCGCAACAGTTCGCGAAGGCCTCTATCTGCAGGAACTCCTGCAAGAGGCGAAAATACCAGCTTCATCTACATTTCGCCTGCACTGCGACAACCAGAGCGCAATCCGCATCGCAAACAAGCCTGGATTCATCAACCGCACCAAGCACATTGCGCTGCGGTATTTCTTCGTCAAGGACGAAGTGGACAAGGGCAAGGTGAACCTGACCTACTGCCCGACAGGTGACATGGGAGCTGACTTCCTCACGAAGCGACTGCCACGTCAGCAGTACCAGCACTGCTCCGAACTCAGCGGAGTAGTCAAGCAGGTCAAGTCGAGCTACGGCCAGGAGTGAAGGGGGGTGTTACGAATAGTGGAAAATGATTGTGCACTCCTAACCGCAGCAAAGCGAAGCACACAGTATCGAAGCACGAACGCGAAGAGTCAGAGTCGACTTGAAGGGTTGCAGACAGTTGGAATGGATCTGGACCGTCGGAGCAGACGGCATGGAGCAGCTGCACGATCAAGGGAATTGGCGGGAACCAGGGCTTAGGTTTGGATTTTGCCTACTCACGATTGGCAGTGTAGCTGTTTCAATAACCCTTATGAGCAGTGTGTATTTTCTTCATTACACTGATGGATCAGTGTAACCATGAGTGTCGGAAATTTTACCCTGCAACAGCAGGGTGAGTTTCCGTGGCGTGCTGGCAAGGGAAAATAGACACGGGACACGAGAAACGAAACCAATCAGACACGGGACACGAGACACGTGACCAATCAGACACGAGACTGCTGCCAACAAACAAACTGCACGGAAGGAAACATCACGAACCGACGGATTTCTGAGAGGGGGGGAGGGGGGGGGGGGGGGGGGGGGGGGGGGGGGGGGGGGGGGGAGAGGGGGGGCTGTACGCTCTTCAGTGTAATCGTTGCTAAGGGAAAAAATTCCCCAATGGATCAGTGTGGCCTGGTACAGCGTTACACTGACATATCAGTGTAATACTAATCCTCCAAAAAATTTCCCAAACACATCAGTGTAAGCCCAAAATTTCACCCTTCTAATCAGTGTAGAATGGTGAATTACGCTGATAACGAGAGCCCTGGCGGGAACAGTTTCGTAACTGTTCGAGTCGCACGGTTGGGTTTGAATTCGAATAAGGGAATGTACCCCTTAGAGTACATGGCTAGCTAGATCGTTTCGTATTCCCCCCTGTACTACTATTCATAAGCTTGTATTTGCATGTTTTAATCATCTCAAAGCATTTTACATTCACTCTGTTTTGAGGTCAATGGCCCACCACTACCAATCAGCTGTGTGCGAACCTTCCCGAGGTGATCCTAGGATCGATCAACTATCGATCGTAGGAGCAACCAACAACCCACTCATACACGAGGCTCATGTACGGAATAAAATCCTTTCTACAACCGACCCGACTGGAGTGGAGCTAAACTCAGCTCATCTTCCCTTCAAAAACCGACAGCCCAGTCATACACCCTAACAGGCTCCCCCATGCCTCTCAAAATCCCCTTAATCTCTTCAGCTCCCTCCTCGCTCCTCCCCATGATCATCGCAAACCCTCCCCCTCCCGCCCCTGCAAGCTTCGCCCCACAACTCAGATGCTCCACAGCAGCCAATAGCGCGTCGACATGTGGATTGCTACAGTGCGGGTCGAGTTCCTGGTGAAGGTCCCAGGTGTGGGAAAGAACGCGCCCTAGAAGGTCGAGATCGGCGGTTGCGATCGCGCGGCGGCCGATCTCGGCAAGGTCTGTGAGCCGTTGGATGGTGGAGATGAGGCGAGAGTCCCGCTGCAGGTAACGGGTTACCACATTCTTCAGAACGTTACGCGCCAGCCGCACCTGGGTATCGATCGATAATGGGTGAAAAACAAAAAGTAAGATCTCAACATTGAATTGAGGCGACTATGAAAGGTAAAAGAGTTCCCGGTTGGGGGGGGTCATTGAATGTCACGAGCCACGCGGACTAAAAGCACTGAAGGGGTTTCACTTACCTGGTCACGAACATAACCACGCCCCAGACTCCCCATACCAATGGTCTCACCTACCTGGCCAACAAATACGACCACCAGGCGTTGCTGCAGAGCAGAGTGGAATGCCGGGAGCAGCGGCAACGGGGCGACAACGAGACGAATGGGGCGAGTGGGCAGGCTTGTGGTGCATTTGACGCCCGGGTTAGAGCGTCAAGGGTGCCCGGGTAGAGCCCACCCACTTGGTCCTGCCACCCTCCCCCCGTGCCCATCCTCTGCTCCCCACATTCTTGAGCATGCTACAAGCCGCGTGGACCCAAACAAACTAGAGAGGTCTCACCTGGCCCACAAAGACGACCACCAGGCGTTGCTGCAGATTAGAACGGAACGCCGGCAGCAGGGGTAGAGGGTCCACTACGAGACGAATGGGGCGAGTGGGCAGGCTGGTGGTGCACTTGACGCCCGGGTACAGCCCTCCCACCTGGTCCTGCCACCCTCCCCCTGTGCCCATCCTCTGCTCCTGCAGCAGCACCAGCCGGCTCACTTCCTCGTCTGTCACCTCAGGTGCTTTCTCAGGTGGTTTCTCTGTTGCCTCAGGTGCCCCATCTGTTGCTTCAGGTGTTTGCTCGGCCCCATTCCTGCTCCTCCCTCCCCCTCTGACCAGCAGCAGCAGCGCTCGCACCAAAGCAGCTGCCACTATACTGCTCGTGCCGAGACCACTGCCCCTGGGAACATCGGCCCATGTTCGAATATGCAGGCCAACAAACAAGGAGGAAGAGGAGGAGGAGGGGGAGAGGAGGGTGGATATGCGAGTGACTAGGAGGGCGGCCTTGACTACAACGAAGGGCTCTTGAGGGGAGAGGTGGGTGGGGATGGTGGCGGGGTCTGGGATGTGGAGGGACGCCCCTGAATCGTCCTCCATTAGAACGCCTGTGGAGGGAGCAAGGGCGATGGGTGGGTAGTTCAAAAGATGTTTCAGTGGCTCAAAAACAAGTGGGTGGGGATGGTGGCGGGGTCTGGGATGTGGAGGGACGCCCCCGAATCGTCCTTCATTAAAACGCCTGCAAAGAGAGAGCAGAGAGTGGGCAGGTTGCACACGGTGTGAGGTGCCACAGTGGGAGGATGTGGAGGGTTTTGAGACGTCTCAAAACACTCCTTTCTTCAAGAAAGGGCAGAGAGTGGCCAGGTTGCACACGGTGTGCGGTGCCACAGTGGGAGGATGTGGAGTGGAGCGAAGCAGTGCAGAAATTGTTTCTGCTACGGCACCTGCTGACAAAACACCGTGGTCGTCCTCCGTTAAATGACCTGTGAAGGGGGGCAATGGCTGTGGGGGTAGGCAGGTAGGTAGGTAGCACAGGGTTGGGTTTGAGGTGCTGCAGAGGTCCTACAACCACACTGGAGCTAAGCTCTAGAAGCTCTGGAAGCTCGAGAAGCCCAAGAAGCTTGAGAAGCTCGAGAAGTTGAAGCACTCACCAGGCTCCTTCACAACAGTCACAAAGGTCTCAGGCCAGCCATGTTCAGCACCGTTCTGCACCGTTCTAGGATCCATGGAGGTGTGATGTTGCAACCATGTCCCAAGGCTGTTCCTTCATGATCATTCCCTTCCCTTCCTTTCACTCACCAGGCTCCTTCACTACAGTCACAGTGGCCCCCACTGGTCTCTTTCCGTCCAGCATCACGGCCATGTTCAGCACCGTTCCGCACCGCTCTAGACTCCAGGGAGGCGTGTCGCTCCACCCGCCTGCAATGTCGAGGCGCACTGGCAGAGTCACTGTGACAGTGGCGCCTAGAGGCAGGGCTGCTGGGAGCATGGGTTGAAAGGGCAGAAGGGGAAGGGAAAGACAGAGAGCCATGGTGGAAAGACAGAGAGCCATGGTGGAAAGACAGAGAGCCATGGTGGAAAGACAGAGAGCCATGGTGGAAAGACAGAGAGCCATGGTGGAAAGACAGAGAGCCATGGTGGAAAGACAGAGAGCCATGGTGGAAAGACAGAGAGCCATGGTGGAAAAAACCTCCACATGCATCACAGTGACAGTGGCACCTAGCGGCACGGCTGCTGGTGAGGATGGGTTACACCGTTACAGGGTGCACTGTTACAGGGTGCACCGTTACAGGGTTAAAGAAGAGGAACGGAAGGGGAAGAGGGTGAAACATAGGGAGCAAGGCATGGCGGAACACAGCTCACCCCAAGCGAGAGTTTCATGTCTTTGCAGGAGCTGTCGAAGTCGAACAGGTGGGCTGCGGAGGCCTTATTTCCATCAACTCTTGCTGTTTAGGACAGAGAAACAAACCCCACGCAGCTCACCCCAAGCGAGAGTTTCATGTCTTTGCAGGGAGTTTTTGAGAATTCTCAAAAACTCCATACATGTGGTGGAGCAACACATGTAGTTTCCATTCTGTTCCAGCGAAGAGAACTAGAACTATGTCCAGGCGCATGGCGGTAGAGTTACTGGGACAGTGGCGAGGCGCACGCTGCTGGCGGCAGGGCAGTAATGTTTCAGTGAGGGCTGCGAAGGCAGTAATCACCCAATACCACCCATTACCACCCATTATCATCCACTAGTACACTATTACCCATTATCACACTGACATACCCTTCCGTTGCACGATCTTGTGCCCATCATCATTCACTTTGCTTGAGGTGACCCTTGAGGTGACCCTTGAGGTGACCCTTGAGGTGACCCTTGAGGTGACCCTTGAGGTGACCCCAACCTCATCATCTCTCCCCTCCACCACCCCCACTCCCATGGCTGCTGCTGCCTCCTCAGCCACCGCGCTCATACCCTTCCCACAGAACGCCTCAGAAATAAAATATCATTTGAGCCCCATGGGGTGCACACTCCCATACCCACAACAACTCATCCCCCTCTTGAGCCGACCCTAAGTCATTATTTCTCCCCTCCAACCAACCCCACTCCTCTGCTACTGCTACTGCTGCCTTCTCAGCCGCCACCCTCCACACTCCCTCCTCCAACTCCTCTCATCACACCACATCTGTTACTTGGCAATCACACATCAAATGGCTGAGACACCCTTTATATGACAGTGATTCACATCCACATCAAAGCACTCACCCTGCTTTTGATTCGAGGCTTGAGTCGAATCCATCTCATCATCTATCCCCTCCCCTCCCATTCCCACGGCCACTGCTGCCTCCTCAGCCACAGCCCTCCATACCCCCTCCCCCAACTCCTCTTCTTCACCACCCTCTCTCTCTCCCTCTCGTCCCATCTCCCGCCCTCCTCCATCTCCCTCCCCTCCCTCCTCCCCCCCTTCTTCTCGCTCCTCTCCTCTCTCCTCCTCTCCTTCTCCCCTCCCTCGCCTCTCCCCCTCGCCTCGCACCCCTCGTGCTGCTCTAACCACGTCTAGCTTCGCTTGTAGCACACGGCTCATAGGCACACCCCCCCACTGCTGCTGCTGCTGCTGCTGCTGCCCCTGCTCCCCCTCCTTTGATGCGTTTCTTGCCCCCACAGAAGGAAAGGATGCTACAAGTTCCGAACACAACTGCCCGGCTCCTCTCCTCCTCTCCCTCTCTCTGCAGTAACCAACATGACCGTTCGCATTGCCCCAACCTTCTGTTCTGCTATTGCTGGTTGAGCTGGCGCTCTTGTGAGAACCTGCCACGTGGCAGGTGCTGCTGTGTGCGTCCACCACGTCAGCAAGCAGCAGCTGATGTGTCAGAGAAGCTAAGTTGCGACCCAAGGACCCTCCAGCAGTAGCAGCAGTGGTCCTATCAACGCCACCACTAGCAGAAACAGGTGAGGCACCACCACCACCATTTATTGCAGCCCGAGCAAAGGCAGCGAGCAGCACGGATCGACGGTGAAGGGCCGAGGAGAGCAGAGAAGGGAAGTCGATCTGACGGTGGAGGAGAGCCAGCGACGTGCGGTCGGATCTCCGCCACGTGTCAGCGAACTGTTGGCTGAGAGCTTGGCTGGGAGTGTGACCAGAAGATTGGGCGAGGGTAGGAGGGAAACTTCCAAGTAGCCACATGGCGAGTGGGAGGCCGGAACCAGAGGGGCAGATGGGGAAGAGGAGTGCGTTCCATAGGTCCTGCTTTGGCTGAATCGGGCGGCCTTGGTTGTCTGTATCTGGAAGAGGAAGACGGACAATGGAGTAGGAGAAGGGGCAGGGGAAGGAGTAGTGAGACAGACAGTGGGTGGGTCGCAGTTTTGAGGCGCCTCAAAACGAGACAGTGGGCGGGTAGCAGGAGCAGGGAAGAGAATGGGGCACGAAGCTTTTCCTTGGGGTATGGATAATGAACGTGCAGGGTATGTGGTGGAGAGATGGGATTGGGAAGGGCGGGAGGAAAGGCAGGCAGACTGTGGTGGGGAAAACTGCCTGCTTGAAGAGTGGGTGTGACTTGTTTAAGTGTGGTGTTTAAGTGTCGTGTAAGTGTGTTGGGCCAAGCCAAGGGCAGTATGTGGTTCAATTACAACCGCAGTTGGATATAGGCGAGTGCAGTGCAGTATGTGTTGGGCCAACCGCAGTTGGATATAGGCGAGTGCAGTGCAGTATGTGTTGGGCCAACCGCAGTTGGATATAGGCGAGTGCAGTGCAGTATGTGTTGGGCCAACCGCAGTTGGATATAGGCGAGTGCAGTGCAGTATGCGTTGGGCCAACCGCAGTTGGATATAGGCGAGTGTGAGATTAATCTGAGCAGAACAGCTCAAGGAGATGGACATCTGGACATCTTATTTGGCTAGATGTCCGCGTCCTTGAGCCCTCTGTCTCCCAACCACAGCCCCCATGGCGGTCAATAACCAGCCCAGCAGCAGCCACACCAAAGCATGCAGATAGAGCCAGGAGAATGCGGAGAAAACAGATGAGAGGACAGCTCACCTGGCCAGATGTCCGTCTCCTTGAGCCCTCTGTCTCCCAGCCACAGCCCCCAGGGCCGGCCACAGAAGGAGCCTCCCCCAGATAACGACAACTTAGGGTTGTCATCCACGCCGCAGCACAGGGTGACCTCCCGCCCCCCTTTTAGCGGCACCTGCCATAAGCACATGTGGCTTGGCAGCACTAGAGGACAAAACGATTGGATTACAGGAGGACCGCTGGTAGCGGGCTCAGCAGATGTGGCATCAGAAGCTCTTGCTGACATGGCAGATGCTGACATGGCAGATGCTGGCATGGCAGCTGCTGACTCAGCAGTGGGGGCGGCGGCGGCTGTGTCTACGCCAATCACAACACATCGGTCGCCGATCCGCGTGCCTCGGACCAGCCAGCTGTCAGAGACGACGCTCCCCTCTCCGACACACGCGCCAGGTGGCACGTGCGACGAGATGAGTGCTGCAGATTGCGCCACGTGGCAGTCTGTGGGTGCGGCGACCGCGCTGAGGTGGCGGCGCGGCATTCGCTCAGTGTAGGCAAGGCGCATGTGGTGGAGATACTCCGATGCTGTGCCGAAGTGCAGGAAGGAGAGATCGTCTGCATTAAGGTGGTGGGTAGACAGAAGTGGAGGGGGTATCATACAAATGAGCACACGAGTAGACAGGGCGCATGTGGTGGATATACTCCGATGCCGTGCCGAAGTGCAGGAAGGAGAGATCGTCTGCATTAAGGTGGTGGGTAGACAGAAGTGGAGGGGGTATCATACAAATGAGCACACGAGTAGACAGGGCGCATGTGGTGGATATACTCCGATGCCGTGCCGAAGTGCAGGAAGGAGAGCTCGTCTGTATGGGGGTGGGGTAAGGGAGGGGTCAGGGATGGGAAGGGGTTGTGGAAGGGAAGGAGTATAGGCCTGAGGTGAATACGAGTGGGCGAGGCGCATGTGGTGGAGATACTCCGATGACGTGCCAAAGTGCAGGGAAGCATTAGCATGGCGGGGAAGGTGTGGGGAAGAGGGAGTGAAAGGATAGAGCTATGGGGAGCATAGGAGTGGGCAAGGCACATATGGTGGATGGAGGAACTCGGACGACGTGCCAAAGTGCAGGAAGGAAAGATGATGTATGGGGGGGGGATTTTTGAGTCGACTCAAAAATGAAGTGCCGAAGTGCAGGAAGGAAAGATGATGTGTGGGGGGGGGATTTTTTAGCCGACTCAAAAATGAAGTGCCAAAGTGCAGGTAGGAAACATCATGTGGGGGGGGGAGTAGGACAGATGGCAAGGGATGGAAGAGACAGGGGCATGGTTTGGAGGGGCACACGAGTGGGTGGGCAAGGCGCATGTGGTGCAGTGCTTTTGAGTCGACACAAAAGTGTACTCGGATGCCTTGCCATGCTGAAATCAATAGTGGAGAGGGAGGGATGACCTTGGAGGGAAGTGGGGGTAGGTACAGAATGCACACAACCGGACTTGCCTGCGCAGTGGTGGAAGAGAGAATGGGAGCTGAGATGGGCGAGGAGGTGCGATCCGAGGGGGCGAGTGGAGAGCCAGGCATGGCGTGCCGGCACCCATGCTGCTGCCAACTCTTCATAGAGACTCAACTGGAAATAGTGAGACATAGAGGGACACGCACACGCGCACGCACACACGGGAAAGGCGAGCAGGCACAATACATGAGATCCCAGGGCAGGGGGTGAGAGGAGAGTCGGGCATGGCATGCTGGCACCCCCCTGCTGCTGCCTGCTCCTCGTAGAGGCTTAGCTTTGGACAGAGAGAGAGACATGCAGACACAGGCAGAGGGTATCATACATGTGCCCTCAGGGGGTTTGGCATGAACGTGAGATGTCAGGGGGTGTGAGGAGAGCCACGCACGGCATGTTGGCACCCCCCTGCTGCTGCTGCCTGCTCCTTGTACAGACGGTACGCAGACAGCTGAAGCGCGTGGGATTGGAACCATCGAAGCAGGGTAGATGAGAAAAACGTGCCAGCAGGTTCCACCTTCCCCACTTGCCACCTTCACCACTTGCCACCTTCACCACTTGCCACCTTCACCACTTGCCACCTTCCCCACTTGCCACCTTCACCACTTGCCACCTTCCCCACTTGCCACCTTCACCACTTGCCACCTCAACCTCCTCCCAACCCTCTCACCTCTTCGCCTGATGCCAGCAGCTCTGCGAGCAAGTCCTCGTCGCTGGTCGCCAAGCCAATCAGGTCACGCCACGTGTCGCCACAGACCGCGTAGATCCCTGTGTCTAGCAGAGCTCCCCCTGTGCGGCACAGTGCCCCTCTCTCAACCATCTCTGCCACACTCGGCTTTTGTAAAAGGTCAACTACTAGTTCAGGGGAATTTCCTGTGTCGCATTGCCTCTCATGCTGTTGCTGCTCCAACTTCTGTTGGTCCGAGGCAACGTGACTGGTTTGGTCCGAGGCAACACATCTGGTTTGGTCCGAGTCAACACATCTGGTTTGGTCCAAGGCAACACATCTGATTTGGTCCGAAGCAACACTTTTGGTTTGGTCCAAAGCAAGGATGACTCCGTGCCTGGAGGCCACGTCGAGGGGCACGGCAGCAGTGACGACCAGCGCCCCGTGGGAGGGCAGGCGGATGTGAGATGCGTTGAAGCATGGCAACACGTCGCCCGTCATTATGAAGAGGGCGCCGTCTGGGGGGATAGAATAGAGGGGGAAGGGACACGAGTGGGTTGAGTTGCAGGTTGAGGGAGCGAGGGGGCTGGCTGGTGACACAGAGGACAATGAGCCGCGTTGAAGCATGGCGGCACGGCACGTCGCCCGTCATTATGAGGAGGGCGCCGTCTGGGGGAAGAGAGGGGAGGGACAAGAGTTGGGGTGCGTGTTGGGCGGGCCAGCAAAGAAGCCCCTAGCAAGTTATTTGCTGGCCCGCCCCCTCATATGAGGGACCGACCTTGCAGCTTACCACGAGAGGGGAGAGCCAGACTGAAGCGCAAGAGAGCTGAAACCGCGAGGATGTGGTCAAAGAGAGTCGAGGGGGGTTCGTCTGGGTCAAGTCAAGAGGCCTTGAGAACAGAAAGTAAAGCTGTAGCATCGTACCCTTGCATGGAAGAGCTTGCAGAGAGAGACCAGAGGCGGCGAGGATGTGGTCAAAGAGAGTCAAGGGGGGTCCGTCTGGTTCGTCCCCAGCCAGCATGGGCTCAAAGGGCTTGGAGCCAATTGACACGAGCCAATTCCAAACCCCCAAAACACCCCTCTCGCAGCTCACCAGTGGGTGGGAGGGCCTGAAGAGCCAGAGCTGAAACCGCGAGGATGTGGTCAAAGAGAGTCAAGGGGGGTCCATCAGGGTCGTCCCCAGCCAGCAGGGGGAAGGGCACAAAGGGCTTGCCACACGGGTTGGCCCATGGCAGGCGCTTGCTGTCTCCCCCTGCGTGCACCAGTAAAACTTTCATTGTTGGGAGGCGGGCAGATGATGACTGGAACACAGTGAATAGGCAGGGCAATAGGGCACAGAGGGAGAGGGAAGGAGGGAGAGCAGGGTTTGACATGGGTCATCCCCAGCCAGCAGCGGAAAGGGCACAAAGGGCTTGCCGCATGGATTGGCCCATGGGAGTTGCTTGCTGTCGCTCCCTGCGTGCACCAGCAGCACCTTCATTGATGGGAGACGGGCAGATGATGCCTGGAACACAGGGGACAATGGGTTAGGGAGGGAGAGAGAAGGGCTCAAACGGCTTGCCGCATGGATTGGCCCATGGGAGTTGCTTGCTGTCGCTCCCTGCGTGCACCAGCAGCACCTTCATTGATGGGAGACGGGCAGATGATGCCTGGAACACAGGGGACAATGGGGTAGGGAGGGAGAGAGAAGGGCTCAAACGGCTTGCCGCATGGATTGGCCCATGGGAGTTGCTTGCTGTCGCTCCCTGCGTGCACCAGCAGCACCTTCATTGATGGGAGACGGGCAGATGATGCCTGGAACACAGGGGACAATGGGGTAGGGAGGGAGAGAGAAGGGCTCAAACAGCTTGCCGCATGGATTGGCCCATGGGAGTTGCTTGCTGTCGCTCCCTGCGTGCACCAGCAGCACCTTCATTGATGGGAGACGGGCAGATGATGCCTGGAACACAGGGGACAATGGGGTAGGGAGGGAGAGAGAAGGGCTCAAACGGCTTGCCGCATGGATTGGCCCATGGGAGTTGCTTGCTGTCGCTCCCTGCGTGCACCAGCAGCACCTTCATTGATGGGAGACGGGCAGATGATGCCTGGAACACAGGGGACAATGGGGTAGGGAGGGAGAGAGAAGGGCTCAAACGGCTTGCCGCATGGATTGGCCCATGGCAGGCGCTTGCTGTCGCCGCCTGCATGCACCAGTAAAACTTTCATTGATGGGAGGCGGGCAGATGATGACTGGAACACAGAGGGAAATGGGCCAGGGAGGGAAAGGGAAGGGCACAAAGGGCTTGCCACACGGGTTTTCCCATGGCAGTCGCTTGCTGTCTCCGCCTGCATGCACCAGCAGCACCTTCATTGTTGGGAGGCGTGTAGCGGCGGACTGGGTTAGGCGGACAGAGAGAGAGGAGAGGAGGGAATGCGGGGAAGAGGGAAGAGGGAATGCGGGGAGTGACTTGGATTGGCCCATGGCAGTCGCTTGCTGTCTCCGCCTGCGTGCACCAGCAGCACCTTCATTATGGAGAGACTGGTAAAGGCGGACTGGGAAACGGGGTGAGAGTGAGGAGAGAGCAGGGATGGGGGGAAGGAAAGGAAAGTGGAGAGTGGCATGGCTTGGCCCTTGACAGACGCTTGCTCTTGGCCCCTGCAGGAGCAGGACGGTTCTACACATGTATGTACAAGACAAGCCATGGGATGAGCTTGGGAGGAATGCTAAGAATGTCGCATCGCATAATGAATCTGTGCGTGTGGTGGCGGGGAAAGGGGTGACTCACGCACAGTTTCCAAGGCAGGTCTCAGCTCCCCCTATACTTTTTTTTGCGGGGAAAAGCCTCCCGCTCTGGCGGAAAGCCACCCGCTCTGGCGAAAAGCCACCCGCTCTGGCGAAAAGCCACCCATTATCCCACCACACGCACAGTTTCCAAGGCAGGTCTCAGCTCCCCTCCCCCAGATAATTCCTGAACTGAACGCCCAAATAGCTCCCTCCCAAATAGCTCCCTCCCAGGGTCGCCGATCTGATTTCAATCCGTTTCCCCCCCCTGTCAGGCACAGGGTTGACTTCTTGTTACTTTTGTTTTCCCTTCCCTTTTCAACTGTTCACCCACCCACCACAGCAGGGACTCCAAAGCAGCTCTCACCTCCCCCAGATGGTCCCTCAAAGCCTGGATAGCTCCCAGGGTTGCTCCTCCAGACCCGATCCGCCTGCCCTCCCTGTCTGGCACTGCCAGCACGATGGTCTCCGCTGCAATGTGCCCATTGTGGCGCGCTGCTGCCAGCTGCCTGGCACAAGGTGAATAGGGAAAGAGGTGCATGAAAGTTAGTACAAGGGCAAGAGGTTGTGAAAGAAAGCCCCCCCAGATCCGATCCGCTTGCCCTCCCTGTCCGGCACTGCCAGCGCAATGGTCTTTGCTGCAATGTGCCCATTGTGGCGCGCTGCTGCCAGCTGCCTGGTGGGAGGAGGGTGGAGCATACAACGAGCAGTGAGAGTTGCATAACAAGGGAAAGGGATGGTGAAAGCTGAACGCGCTTTTTGAGACTTCTCAAAAAACGCATATAGCTCCTCCTGCCCTCCCTCTCTGGCACTGCCAGCACGAGTTCCTCTTCTTCTTAATGTCTCTGTGCCGCGCGCTGCTGCGAGCTGCCTGGAACAAGGAGGATTGTTGGGGACGGAAGGAGGGTGAGAATGAGGGTGGGGTGGGGTGGGGTGGGGTTTTAAACTTTCTACACATAGTACTATCTGCTTTTAAGGCATCTGAAAAACTAGACAGATAGCCTATCTTCCAAGGGAAGGGCCACGCATACAAGACTACCCCGGCTGCTAGAGATTTTTGAGGCGCCTCAAAAACCATGCATACCACCAGACCATCCCGGCTGCAAAAGATAGAGCTTGTCTAAAAAAGGAGTCATGTTTGTTTCCACAGATGATCTTGCCGCGGTCCCAACTTGAACGACTCCAGAATATCTGGATGGTGGTGCAAGCTGAGGCGCCTCATTTTAGAGGCGCCCCAAAAACGGTCCCAACGGCTCCAGAATGTCTACAAAAGCTGCGACTCCTCATTTTTGTGGCGCGACCGGAGCTCTGAGACGCCGCAAAAGTGACCCAATGACTCCGGAATCAATCTGAGAACTTCATTCTGAACTCTATAACTTTAACGATCAGCCACCATTTGCATTAAACTTACTGTACCTTCTCGCATGCGTGCTCCTCCAAAAGCACATGCAATAAGAACTGGTCATTTATGTTGCATAGCATATGTTCAAATAATCGCCTGCGCGTCGCTCGCATTTTAGGCGCCTAAAAAATTGGAGCAGTAGCCGTAATATATTACGACTACAGTCGTGTATTTTGAGTAGAGATCAGTCCGCGCGTCGCTCGCATTTCAGCGCCTAGAGAATTGGAGCAATTCTTTAGGCGCCTCAAAACCTGGAGACGTAATAGTCATGTTCCTGGAGTAAAGATCATCATGTTCCGCAGGCTACGTCATGCTCCGCGCGACGCGTCGCTCGCAGCGGAGTTTTAAGTCCAGTTGCGTCGAGTTTTCGAGTCGACTCAAAACGCGTCGTGTACCTGGAGTAAAGATCAGCCTGCGCGTCGCTCGCGGCGGTGATCAGCAGCGCGTCCCACGGAGGGAAGCGATTCGGAGCGCGAATGGAAAGCCGGAGCTGGAACCACGCGCGGGAGAGAATCTCCGCCTCCCTCCGACCGTCACTCGCCAGCTCAGACGAGAGCCAGTCGTCCGCTGCGGCGCCTGTCGACATGGCTGGACTGACAACTTGGTGAGATATCCACAAAACGGACTTGCTGCTTCTAAAAAATGCCCATTCAAATAAAGGGTGCTTTTTTATCCAATGTGGCTCGCTTCGCTCCCTCTCTTGTGTTGCAGGGCTGGGAATTGGTTGGGAGCAGGGCAGGGATGCCATTTCAAAGATTTGTACAGTAGCGAGGGGTGGTTAGGGAGTTCGTTGACGCGAGGTGATTGGTTGGTTCCTTGGTTGAGGTTTGGGCTGATTGGCGGTGTTCTACAGCCACTCTATTCCGTCAGCGAGGCTTCAATCCTGGAGGTTTGAGGTGGGGAGGTGGGTCGCTCGAGGGAAGTTGCTTGCAGTTGCAACTTGCAAGTGGCAAGGGAGAGTGCATTGGCTGGGAGGGAGAGGTGGTGGTTGGGGTGGGGGTTTTGTGGTGTATCGTGTCAGGCACGTGGCACAGTAGCACTGTAACAGTGAACCTCGTTTCTCGCTATTGTGAACAGCGTAAACACGTTTTTGTAGTTCCGCGTAAATAGTAAAGTCTGGAGGCTTAGAAATGATTATCCCAACCATAAGTCCTAAGGGGGAATCGCCTCATTGGAGCCTCTCTTCTTAAAAACAGCCTCTCTGCATTTGAAAAAATCATTGGCAATAGCATCAATTTCAGGATACCGTATTCTCCCGGACAAAACACCCCCCCATGATAGAGCACCCTCGGGTAGCTTGTGCGGTGTGGGTGCTATGGGTGACCTCGTTTCCACTATTCCCCCCTTTTTGGCTGATTTTCTATAACACCCTCCTTTTCTTACGGATTCATTGTTATAATCGTTAACGAGTAGCTGCAATACGAAAGAATATCGCGAAAATTTCTCCCTTGATGAAATTTCGCGGTACTTTCACTTACAATTTGTCGAGATTTCCCCCCTCCCACAATTTCCCCCTGCCACGTGCTGGTCAATCTTCCGCAGCAAGTGACCAGAAAGGTGCCGTGCCACCTGGCATTTTCGTGGAGGTGATGAAGTTCGCGGCCGAAACTCACATTCGCGCCTCGGGCAGTGATGTTAAAACGACCATCAAAACACCCACATTGTATAATTAAAAAAAAACACACACACACTAACACTAAAATATGCCATATGTAAGGACCCGGGTATTATGTAGCTTTTTCCTATGAGAAGACACCCCCCTTTTTTTTCCTGTATTTTTACATATATCCTAGGGTGTTTGTCAGAATCACTAGGCAAGAATGATGCATTGAATGAAACAGTTGGGTACAAGTAGCAAACCCTAGTTGGGGTTGTACCCCATATTGGCTACCCCACTACAGCCTACAAGCATAATACAGTTTAACACACCCCCATAGGCAAAGTGGGGGAGAACAAAGGGTCACAAGACCAGTCCAGCAAAGCAAAACAAAGCCCAGGGTGGATCACAACGTCACCACACTCCGAGCACAAGTAAAGGCCACAAGGCCAGTTCACATGCAGTGCTAGATATAGTACAAGACAAGCAACACAGTGATCAAAAACCTAGCAAGTAAGCAACAAGATATATATAAAGTACAGTACAAAGAATGTCAAGCAGTGAGCAAGTGAGGAAACGTGGACACAAGGCCTAAAGAAGTACAGTGCCGCTGATGATCACTAGGCGGGAGCGCCTTGGTGAAGATATCAGCAGTGTTGGCCTTCGAGTCCACGTACACAAGTCGAAGCTGACCGCGCTGCTGAAGCTCTCGAGCAAGAAAGTAGCGAAGAGCAATGTGCTTCGTCCTGTGCTCCAGTCTGTGCTCCTGACACAAGGCAAGAGCCGCCTTGTTGTCACCGTACAGAACTGGAGGAGAACTAGGCCGCTCTCCCAAGTCAGTCAGCAGGTAGGTGAGCCAGCGTAACTCCTGTGCAGCCATGGCTGTGGCGTAGATCTCAGCCTCACAACTAGAGCCGAGAACAGAGGAAGAGCGGGTGGACCGCCACGAGACAGAACCTGAGCCAAGGCTGAAGGTGTAACCCTGTGACGACCGCTGCGTAGCCAGGTCGTCCACCCAAGAGGCGTCCGAGTGACCAGTGAGGACAACTCTGTCGCGTCCTCCAAGCACCAGCCCCATGCCTGATGTACTGCACAGGTACCGCAGCACCCTCTTAGCAGCCTCCCAGTGCTCTCGCCTGTGTCTCCCAGGCGCAACGTAACGAGCAAGGATGCTAAGAGGGTACGCGAGGTCAGGTCGCGTGCAAGTCATCAGGTACATGAGGCAGCCTACAAGCTCTGGGTACGAGCCACTCGGCTCTACGGACTCGTCCGAAGGTGGAGCTGAGAGTGAGTGGCTGGTAGCCAGAGGTGTGGCCTGTGGTGAGGAGAACTGGAAGCCGAAGCGCTGAAGGACCTGCTGCACCATGTGTGACTGAGTCAGGGTGATGGTGCGACGGGCTCTGTCCCGGGTGATCTGCAAGCCAAGGTAGCTACGCAGTTCACCCAGGTCAGTGCAGGTGTGTCTCTTCTGCAGCTCCGACTTCACACGAGCGAGTGCCTCAGTGTCAGCAGTAGCAAAGACCAAGTCGTCAACGTACACGAGGATGTAGAACGGCGGCAGCGACGTGTCAGTGCGCAGAAACAGCGACGGGTCAGCAGTAGACGGCGCGAACCCAAGAGCCGCAAGAGTAGTCCTCAGTGTGTCGTGCCACTCACGTGGCGCCTGGCGGAGACCGTAGACTGGCCGACGGAGACTCCACTGAGTACCAGGGGGAAACGACCCAGTAAAGCCAGGTGGGCGGCGCAGCCAGATCTCCTCGTGCAGGCTGCCCTGCAGGAACGCTGTGCTGAAGTCAAGAGAGTGAAGCTCGTAGTCACGCTGAGCAGCAACGTGCAGCAGAACCCGAAGAGTGGTCATCTTCGGGGTGGGGGAGAAGGTCTGGAAGAAGTCGACCCCCTGACGCTGACTGAAGCCTCTAGCAACGTAACGAGCCTTGAAGACAGGCGGAGAACCTGGCGGCCGCTTCACCCTGAAAATCCACATGCCATCAACGATGTTCGCCCCAGGAGGGGGAACCTCGTCGACGTAGGTGCCTGTGGACTTCCAGGATGCCATCTCTGCGTCCATGGCTGTCTGCCACTGAGAGGAGTAGGGACCCGAGATCGCCTCTGCGTAAGTGCGCGGAGTGGGGATGTCTAGTGCATCCGGGTCTCCCTCAGGGGCAAGCAACCAGGCCACGAGATGAGGTACAGCAGCCGCAAGAGAGTCAAAGTCCTCCTGCCTGTCCTCAAGGACGTCCGTGCCAAGAGCACACTCACCCCCGACGGACGGAGGACAGACAGACGCAGACTCTGACTCAGCGACAAGGCTAGCAGCGTAGTCTAGACGACAGGCAGCAGCAAAGTCAACCAACTCAGCGACCAGAGCAGACGCAGCCGAGGACTCAAAGGTGGGGTCAGTGACAACAGTAGCAAGGAGACGCGTGACTGTAGGGTGCTCAGCGCGATACCGGTCAGACTCAGGGTCCGGAACGGCAGGCAACGAGGACGCAGGAGGAGACGGTAGAGGGACACGCCGAGGAGCAGTAGAGGGACGCAGAGTCATGTAGTGAGTGCCTGGGACAGGAGGAGGACGCTCACGACGGACACGACTACCAGTGCGAGCAGGACGAACAGGCGACACAGGACGAGACTCAGGCTCACGACGCTCTGTAAGACCTCCTGTGGGACCAGTATAAGGAGAGGGAGCAGGGAGAGGCGAGGCAGGCGGTAACTGTGACTGCGGCTGGACAGGCGGAGGACACTCTACGGAGGGAGGAGGACAAGGAGGAGGAGCCTGCCCAAGAACCTGCTGAAGGAGCGGTACGAAGTACGGTCGCGGCCGCGCAGCGTCTCCAGAAGCAGAAGGGACTCCAGCGGCCGGGTCCTCAGCACCAGTAGGAGCTCCAGCGTCCGGGTCCACAGCACCAGCAGCAGCTCCACCGGCCGGGTCCTCAGCTCCAGCAGCAGCTCCACCAGGTGGGTCCGCAGCACCAGCAGCAGCGCCACCCCCAGAGTCGGCAGCTCCAACTCCGCTAGCACCGCCAGCGCCAGAGTCCCCAGCTCCAGTCGCAGTGCTCCCAGAACGATCAGCTCCAGTACCCCCAACTCCAGCCG